CCCCAGCCCCCCCCCGCAAAAAAACACTCCCACCCTCCAAAACCACATCCCATCCCAGGTTGAACCACCTGGGCTTTGCAAATGGCCGGTCAGGGCGCGCGATGGGTTCCTCTGCCACCCGTAGGTGCCCAGAGGGCACCCATGGGGTGCAGACGTCCCCGGGCGCGGGCAGGGGCGAGGGGCAGCCCCCCAGGGCGGGTCTTGGGCGGGCCGTGCTCATTGCGTTTATTCCCGCCGGCGCAGGCTCGCTCTGGCGGTACGTGCGAGCCAGCATGACCCTTTCTGGGTACCTACCGCCACTCTGCGACCCCAAGGACGGCAACTTACTGATGGACGGTGGTTACATCAACAACCTGCCAGGCAAGTAGCAGCTCAACGCCGTCACCACCACCGCCCAACCAGGGTGGCAGCCAGTGTGGCGCCAGGTCTGGCCCTGGGGGCGGTGGCAGGCGGTTGGGTGGGGTCTGCATGGCCACCACGAGTTGGGTTCTCAACGGCCGGAGATGTTGAGGTTGGATTTGGGACATCTTGCTTGGTTTTGCATCTTCTTGGTGTCTTCGTTGTTGGTCATCCTCTCAGGGCATCTTCATCCTCTTTCACATGCAAAAAATTGGTCATCCACCTGGCATCATCTCTTGGTGTCCTCAGCACCAGGTGGCTTCCTACGGCATCTTCATATTTCTTCACATGCAAGAGTCATCCCTTCATCTTGCATCGTCTCTTGGTGTCTTCAGTGTTGGGCATCCTCTCAGGCCATCTTCATCCTCCTTCACGTGCCAAAAAGTCACACAGTCTTGCATCGTCTCCTGGTGTCGTCCGCACCAGGTGGCTTCCCAGATCATCCTTCTTCATATGCAAAAAATGTCCCTCCGTCTTGCATCATCTTTGGGTGTCCTTAGCACCCTCGTAGAGCATCTCTGTGCTCCTTAGGTGCCAACCACCTTCCTCCATCCTGCATCAGCCTCTCCTGGTGTCCTTGGCTTTGGGTGTTCTCTCAGGGCATCTCTGTGCTTCTGCAGGTACAGGCCATCTCCCTCCATCCTGCACCATTTTTTGATGTCCCCAGCACTGGGTGTCCTCCTGGGATGTCTTCATGCTTCATCATGTGCAAGCCACCGTTGTCCATCTTGCATCGTCCTCCCTTGATGTTCTCAGCTCCAGGTGCCCTCCTTGGGCCTCCTTCACCTACAAGACGCCTCCATCTGTCGTGTACTCTTGGTGTCTTTGATACCAGGTCCCCTCCATGCTCTTTCACGAGTAAGCCACCTCCCTCTGTCTCATCCCATCTTCTGGTGGCCCTGACACTGGGTGCCCTGCTGGTGCCCTCAGCACCAGCTCACCTCCTGGGGCATCTCCATCCTTGTTCATGTGCAAGCCACCTCCTGTCATCTCAAACTATCTCGTGGTGTCTTTGACACCAGGTGCCCTCCATGCTCCTTCACATGCACGGCACCTCCCTCCATCTCAAACCATCTCTTAGTGTCCTTCATGCCAGGTACCCTCCCAGAACATCTCCATGCTCCTTCACGTGCAAGCCTCCTCCCTCCATTCTTTGTCACCTCCTGGTGCCCTTGGCACCAGGTGCCCTCCCAGGACATCCCATCCTCCTTTATTTCCAAGCCACCTTCCTCCACCGTGCATCATCATCTCTCGGTGTCAGCACCAGGAAACCTCCTGGATCATCTCCATCCTCCTTCACGTACAAACCACCTTCCTCCATGTTGCATCATTATCTCTTGATGTCCTCAACACTAGGTGCCCTCCTGGAGCATCTCCATCCTGCTCCATGGTGCAATCTGTCTCCATCCACCTTACATCGTCCTCTGGTGTCCTCACCACCGGGTGTCCTCCTGGGGCATCTCCACGCTCCTTCGCATCCTGCCACAGACGCTGCAACTTGCCTGTGCCCTCCCGTTTCCCCAGCACATGCACCAGGTTGCATCACCACTCTGCTTCCCATCGGCATGTCCTGCCGCTGGGCTCCTGCCTCCAACTCTGGCACCCGTGGGGCACTGCTCGTCCCACCACGAGCCCCAGCATGGCTTTGCCATCCAGCCCAGGCTTGGGGACAATCTCTCAACCCCATTTCCCCGCTCCACTTTGTGCCACCAGTTCTCACAGTGGGCTTGGACCAGGGCAAACCATGACGCTGCCAACCCAGCTTCTTCCTTTCCCACCCCGCAGCCGACATTGCCCGCAACATGGGTGCCAAGACGGTGATCGCCATCGACGTGGGCAGCCAGGATGAGACGGACCTGTGCAACTATGGGGACAGCCTGTCTGGGTGGTGGCTTCTCTGGAAACGTCTCAACCCCTGGGCTGAAAAAGTCAAGGTGAGGACTGGTGGGACAAGGGAATGCTGGTGAGATGGTGCGGGCAGGGTGCCTAGCACCTCATCCTTGCAGGTGCCTGACATGGCGGAGATCCAGTCCCGCCTGGCCTATGTGTCATGCGTGCGGCAGCTGGAGGTGGTGAAGTCCAGCTCGTACTGCGAGTACATCCGCCCCCCCATTGACCGCTTCAAGACCATGGATTTTGGCAAGTTCGACGAGATCTACGTGAGTTGGGGGATGAGGAGGCCGGTGGGGTGGCCTGGACCATCTTTTGGAGTGCTTCAGGCCATCAGGGAGGTGCCCCAAGCCATGGGTGAGGTTCTGCAGACATCAGTTTGGGTGTCCTGGCCATTGACTGGGGTGCTCTGGCCATTAACAGGGTGCCCTAGGCACTAATGGGGTGCCCCAGATGTGCCTTTGCCATCGGTTGGGTGTCGAGGCTATTAACAGGGTCTCCTGGCCATCAGGTAGGGTCAACCAGCAATTGATTGGGTGCCACAACCACCATTCGGGGTTGCTCTGGTCCTGTCGGGGTGTCCTGGACATTGGTGGGGTACCCTGGCCATCAGTTGAGTCCTCGAGCCATCATTCAGGTGCCCCAGCCATTAACGGAGTGACTGGACCATCATCGAGGGGTGCCCACGCCATTGTTTGGGGTGCTTGGGCCATCAATTGCCATGTCCTGGGCATTCTTTGGGATGCCTGGGCCATAATTCTGGGTACCCAGGTCATCTGGGGCTCCCTGACCATCATTTGGGCTGCCTGGGCCATTGGTTGGGGTGCCCAAGCCATTGATTGGGTGATCCAGCTATCAGTGGGGTACCTTTGGCCATCATTTGGGGTGTCCTGACTAGATTGAGCATCCCAGTCATCGTTGGTGGTACCCTGGCCAGCAGTTGGGTGCCCCAGCCACCAATGGGGTGTTCTGGGCCATCAGTTGGGATATCCTGCCCACCAGTTGGGTGTCTGGGCTGTCATTTGGGGTGCCCAGGCCATTGTTTGGGGTGCCCAGGCCACCAATGGGCTGCAGCCGCTCTCCCTGCAGGACGTGGGGTACCAGCATGGCAAGGTGGTCTTCGACGGCTGGAGCCGGGGTGACATCATTGAGAAGATGGTGAAGGACCGGCACTCGGCTGACTTCTACGAGAGCAAACGCATGGACGTGAGCAGGGGGTGGCACTGGGGCCCGTGGGTGGTGGTGGCTGTCTGGGGACCTGCCCTGGGGCGTCCTGGGATGGGCCACCCTGGCCCTGGCACCCTGATTTTAAGGATTTTTTTTTTTCCCCCTGGCTCTGGAGCCATCTTCACGGAGCAGCACGCTGCCTTGTCCCTTGTCCCCTGTCTCCCCTGTGTCCTTCTAGCCCTCCTGGTACAGCTTGTCCCTCCTGGTGTTCTCCTGTCCCTCACTGGCATCTTCCTGTCCCTCCCCACCCTGCTTCATCCTCCTGTCCCCTTGGTCCATCCTCCTGACCCTGCCACCCTGGTCCATCTCCTGTCCCTCCCCAGCATCCCTCTGTCCTCTTGGTCCATCCTTCTGTCCCCACTACCCTGGGCCATCCTCCTGTCCCCCCCCAGCATCCTTCTGTCCCCTCCTCGGTCCTTCCTCATGTGCCTTGGTCCATCTCCTGTCCCCCCCAGCATCCTTGTCCCCTCCTTGGTCCATCTCCTGTCCCTCACTGGCGTCCTTCTGTCTCCTTCTTGGCCCGTCTCCTGTCCCCCTCCCCATCATCCTTCGTCCCCCTGGTCCATCTCCCATCCCCTCGGTCCCTCTTCTGTCACCCCGGGCTCCTTTTGTCCCTCTCGTCGTGTCCCCTGCTGCCCTTCTACCCCCTTACCCACCTGACATCCCTCCTCCTGCTCCCCCCATCCTCACCCCTCTCGCACATGGCGGGGGGCTGCTCGGGGCCCCCCCTTTTCCTCCCGTAGGTGCTCACGTGTCCCAGCGCCGGCTTCACCGACCTGGCAGAGATCGTGTCCCGCATCGAGCCCGCCAAGCCCTACTTGTCCGACGGATACGCGGACGGTGAGCTGGGAGGGGGTCCACGGTACGGGGCCAAATCCGGATACCGGGCCTGACCCTGCACCCCCTCTTGCCCCCCCACCCCCAGAGGAGTCCGACTACCTCACTGAGTACGAGGATGAGGGGCCGGAGCCAGCGCGGGGCGAGGAGGACGCGTTTGCCCCCGCCGAGTGGGCCGGTGCCGGTGCC